TGTGATCTTGATTGATAATTGAGTTGTAGTTTGGGGGTAGTTTAGTTTCTTTGAGATTTGGGTTTAGCTTTCATCGATTGAGAGACGATTATGTTGTTTTGGATTGAAAGTTTGTGTTTTTATAACCGAACCCAGTTTGATAATTAGATTAACTTTGAGAATCTTTGTGAATTAGATCGTTGACTTTTTTTTTTTATGAATAGCTAAAATTCCTGTGAATCATTTTAAGTTTTTCTGGGTTTTTGTGTTTCATTGAAGTGAATTTAGACTCAATATGTGTGTGGTTTTCAGGTTATTACTGCTGGTGCATTGTCCGGTGTTAGCGATGTTGTTTCGCAGAAACTATCTGGCATTCAGAAGATTCAGCTGAGAAGGGTTCTTCTTAAAGTGGTAAAGCTTGAATCTTTCTCTTGGAACCTCAATTTTCAATCCAATCATAGCTTCGTTCGATGCTTTGAGTTCATTGTATTCTCCAACAGATATTTGCGGGTGGTTTTCTCGGACCAGCTGGGCATTTCTTTCATACGTTTCTAGATAAGATTTTTAAAGGGAAGAAGGACACAAAGACTGTTGCAAAGAAGGTGAATTTGCGATAATTCGATGATTTGGATGTTAAAGATTGATCGAGGTTTATGCTAAATGATTTGATATGGCAGGTACTCGTGGAACAACTGACATTGTCACCATTGAACCATTTGCTTTTCATGATCTATTATGGAGTAGTCATTGAAAGTAAGTTCCTTTCTTAGTGTACATTTGTAAAAACCCGAAAAGTGTTGGATGGGATTATGAGTTCTGATAATAATTCTGCAATGTTGAGTGAAACAGAAACTCCCTGGAATCTTGTTAAGCACAGGATCAAGAAAACTTACCCGACAGTCCAGCTTACAGCATGGACGGTAAGTGATACATATCAATTTAGTTTATGTCCTTTGTTATAAAGAGTTTGATTCACAAGTGTCGGATGTTTTTATCGTGACTATTATCTGGTTACTTTTTTCATGTCTACTCATTTGATTCTGTATGTTGTGAATTACTTTTAATCACAGTTTTTTCCCGTCGTGGGATGGATAAACTACAAGTATGTGCCACTTCACTTCCGGGTCATCTTGCACAGCCTTGTCGCGTTCTTCTGGTAAGACAATGAAACATTTGCTGAATCATAACTGAAAATGCAGATATCTTTATAGTCCTACAGATAGACAAGTATTGAGTTCTCTGGATCAGAATGCATGAAATGGTGAATAGTGGAATTGATTTTAACATTGTTTTCTTCTTTTCTGAACACAAAGAATTTCCGAATGAAATGACCGGAATTTTCTCTATCAATGTTTCTGTTCTTGTAATTGTTACTTAATTTTAAATTTTCTTCGCAAACTTAACATTTTTCTTGCTCTTTTGTTTTTTCAGGGGAATTTTCCTGACACTGCGAGCAAGGTCAACAACACTGGCTTTGGCTAAGGCTAAGTGACTAGGGAACCACATCGATCAAGAGAGAAATATCAATCCTCACTCATTGTAATCTTAGTACTCTGTAAGTTAAAGCATATCAAACAGCTGAAACCAAATAAAAATCTGTATTAAGATGATACCATTCTAGGATAGCAATGTTTTTAAGTTATTACAAACCATTTCAGATATTGTCTAAAACACATTCACAAACATCATATAAAAGAAGAGAACGGATCTTTCTTAAGCAGCTTGGGCGAATCCGACTCTTGTTTTTCCGTAATCAAACACAGTGTGGTATCGTCCCATGAAGATATCACCCAAGATCCTGCATTACAAAAGTTTAGAGTAAACACATTTGAGTTTTTTTTGGGTTAGTAGATTTGGGATTTTGTAGATGAGAGTTACCAGAGAGGTCCACGAGGCGGTGGGATATCCATGGCTGTGAAACCGCTGGTGCACTGCGCCTGAACTCCGTCACCAATCTTGAATATATACTGATCCATAAGAAAAAGGAAAACAGACTTTAATCTTTCCCATTTAATGATATTGGTAAGCTGAAATGTAAGGAGAAACTGATGAGAGAAGTTACATCTTGAGGGGCGAGATCAAAGCTTTTGCCACCGATCGTGAATGTGACTATAGGCATCGACGAAATCCTCTCACAGTCCACTGCTGATTGTTGGTTCTTGTTTGGTATGTGGTCACAAAGCTAAGGAATTAACAGAGATTAGAGTTTTTACATGTTTATGTCCAAAATAGTGCTTCAAAGATTCTTCTCACTAAACTCACCTCAGCAGCGTAAGCGAGTATGTGTTCTTGTGTTTCGTTCTGAGTCAATTCGCTCTGCATCCACACGGCTGCCATCTCACAGGCGCTGCACATCGCTGCGTCTAGAAGACCCGATGTTCCATCATCTACAACCGACTGTATCCCCATACTGCAGACAAACATAAATCAGTTTAAGATTTTTGTTGTCTAATGACCAGAGCTCTCTTGACATTTTTTTTCTTCTACTGACCTCACACTGTGTTCCCCATCGAAACCGCAGAGTCCTATCTGTGAGCATACCTTCCTCGGATCCGCCTGTAAGTCAAATGATGCAGAATTCAAGACTGTATTGTTTATAAATAGGTAAGTTTGAAGAATGTGTTGGGATGAGCAGTGATTTAAACCTGAGCTAGAAGGGAATTCAACATGGTTTTTCCATACTGATCCACCACGGTTTTGCATTCGCGGCTTACGATTCCTACTGCTCCAATGGCATGATTGATCATCGTGACGATAGTCTAAAGAAATAGAAAAGCAAAAACAAATAAAACTTTTCAGCATGTTTCAGGTGCTAAATAGTGCACAATAAACAGAATTTTATAGCGAAATCTTTCTCTTACCGATGGACCGGTGAGTAGAGAAGTTCCAGAATCAGCAATGGCAGAACAACCATTAGCACAATATCCTGAATGACATATAAAAAATATAGATGTCAAATTATGTCTTAAGGACTCATTCATGTTGAAACTGAAACATTTCAAATGCTTTTACTTACCGGTTGGTTTGCCAGCAATGAGGAGATCACCCATATCGAATTGCCAGTAACCTTTATGTGTAACGGGAACATAAGTATGCTCTCCTTTGAAGTGCTTAGGGTCGACTCCTCCAAAAATAATCTCACCACCTTGTTGATCTTGCGGGTTACGGTTAAGCCAGAACGAAAAAATCGGGTCCTTAATCAGACCTTTGGCCAACATGTTATACCTATATATATATCACATCATTTAAATTCATCATTTCAGATTGCACAACAAAAGTCTATAATTAGATGATGGAAAGTGTTTTCATACCAAACCGGAGTTGAATTTCCAACAGCAATCTCTTTGAATCCCAACCCGAGGATACCATCAAACTTTGCTACCAAGAATGTAATACCAGGTTCACTAGTAGCCTCTATGAATTCCTGTGGTCATAGACATATCATACAAAATGTAAAACTTTAAAGATTCTGAGATGTTAAAGCAGATTAATTGGGTGTTTACCTGTTCCTTGATAACAAGATCACCAACTTTAACATCATCATTGCTAAAGTAACCAGAGATAGCACCTGTCCCATACCGGATTGACGCGGGTTTTCCTGTAAATGTCAATGACTTTTAGTGTCAAAAACTATATGGAAACATATCAGAACATCAAAGCACCATAGCTCAAGAATCAAATAACAAGGTAAATAGAGAGAACAAACCGTTCTTTCTGTATGTCGATGATTGACTAGCCTTGTACTTGGAGTGAAAATAACAGGCAACCTGAAAAACAAATATTAACACGAGAAATTTTGTTTATTTTTTTCGGGGAAAAGCATACGATAGGATGCATTTCCTAAGAACAAATCAACCACTATTACGTACCGATAAGTGGCATTTAGTAGATGGAACCCAAAGATTGGAGCTTCCAGTATCAAAGATTGCAGTAAACTTCTGAGGTGGAGTACCAATGGTAATGTCACCATAGTATTGAGCATCCAAATAGTTTTTCAGAGGAACAGTATCCGCATTTTCATCGTTCAAGCGAAAATAACCTTTATACGACCAAGAACCTTGGTTTTTCACAACAAGCTGAGAAGCTAGCCTGTTGGCCGGGTCAAATTTCTTCTTCTTCAATCCAATTCTAATTGTTCCATCATTTTGTTTCTCACACGAGGTTGTCGATATAAGGATTAAACATGAAAGCAAGAATACGAGCAAGAAAGATTGGAACCGAGTTCCCATTTTACCTATCATCAATAACAACAATCTTACATCAATTTTAAAAGATGAAAGAGTATACATATGCAAGATTATAAAATTTAAATATGCTAATATGAAGATTATCTACTAATCAGATTTCTCAACAAAAAGATCAAAGATCCAAGATTCAAGATTGGTGAATTGCAGGGCAAAAATCCTCAGATCCTTGGAGTTTTTTTTTTTTGGATAATGAGATCCTTGGACTTGTTATATACGTATATTACACAATAAGTTAGAAACAGAAAATCTTAAAAGTGTTAATGAATTGAAACTGCCGTAGTTCATAACTCTAGCATGATCTTTTTACTTACACACCTAAAACCAAACAAGTTTTCATTAAATTTCTGATTTATCAACTTTAAAAACAACTAGAAATATTTAGTCTTAAAATACTTTTATAAAACAAAATCCAAGGGAAGAATAAGACAAGCCAAGTTGTAATATTATTGATTGAAGTGATTGGTAAAAAAAGGTTAAGACTAAGGACTTAGTCAAGATATAAGCCCCACACAAGAATGAAACAAGCCTAAAGATTCTACAATATCGAATCACTTAATATTAAATGGAATAAAACCTTCAAAGTGGAAAAACCAAAAAAATAAGTTGAAAAATTTAAATGAAAACAGAGGAAAAACAGAAATCGAGCTGATACATTTTCACAAACATGAATTGAATGATTCGAAAGGAAAATATTGAAGAAGTAAAAGAACACTCACCGAGAAAATGTGGAGATTTTGAAAAGCTTTAAGAGGAGAGAGAAGAAAACCAAAGTTTTTAACGAGACAAAGAAGAATGGTGCAGGGATTTATATTTATACGTAAAAAGACTTAAAAAGGAGAAACTGTGAAGAAATTTATAGAAATAATATCCAATATTCACTGTCAATATTACAAATTGATAACTAATTTTACTTGTTGCTTGACAAATGGAAATATATGAAGGAATTAATTAAATTTGTAATTGTGTAATTGATTCATAAGCAAGCGTCACGTTTATGAAACCTTGTTTACGTTGCGTGGGCCCTGACAGATCAGCAGAATCTGTTTTTAATGGAAAGTGTTAAAGTTTTCACTTTAATCTGTCCATCCCTATACTATATTTTATTTTCATTTGGACCCCAGATTTTTTATTAAATTATGTAAAAGCAATGATACTTTGCATAAACTGTTGGATGATTCAAATAATGACATAGTTTTTTTATGATACCTTTAAGACTTCTAGGGTCATCTGTTCTCTATGGTCATTCTATTTTAAGTGTGCAAGGAATAAATTTTAAATGTATTAATAGCTTCTACTCAAATAGACATGCAAC